TACAAATATAGTTATTTGGCTTATATCGTGATAGATATCGTTATCGCCTGAAATGAAAAAAACATATCGTGATATGAAAAAATCTTATATCGCCCAGCTCTACTTTCAATTCAATTCAATTTTATTTATATAGCGCCAAATCACAACAAAAGTCGCCTCAAGGCGCTTCATAGATACAGAGACTGGTTGGGGTGAGAGAAGGAAGACAGGATAAAAGACAAAGACTAACTGGCATGAGCATGTGCGTGTTCACCATCCGGCTGAGAATGCTAGGCTATCAGCAGCTTCTGCAGCTCTGTCAACAAGGATTTGGCGCTCTCTGAGGAGGGGGCTGTTTTTTCTGTTGACTGGATCTATTAGCGCCATCATTATTGGCAAACTTACTCATGGGCAAATAAATCAAAACGATGGGCAATAGGCTGATAATCGATAGATTCTTCCAATCGCCCAACCCTAGTTTACAGTCGCTTCAGGACAATAACAGTAACAGACAAATTACAATATTTTATAAAGTTTACAAAATATAAGAAATAGCTCAGTTATAAATATTACAGAGGTGAAATATACACGATCAAGATTTTACTCTAACCTGGAAACTTTGTTATTTTACTGCAAAAGGCTGTTGCTGCTGCACTGTGAGCTGTGTGTTAGGTGGAGGGAGTTCAGTTATATCCACAGGCAGAAAAGATTTCCTGTGTCGTTCAGTGATGCATTATGGGTAATCTCAGTTTCTCGCTGAATGTGCAGACTCATCATCAACAGTTTACGAACAGGGTTCATGCAGGTGCTTGAAACCCTTGAAAATTCGTGGACTTTAATGTCTTTTCAAGGTTTAAAGATTTCGGTTGTGGTGCTTAAAACAGCTGCAAACTGTTTTTCATTCAGCACAAATAACTGTCTGAATACTTTTCTTATCACATAGAGACATAAAATGAGTCGCAAGTTTGTCCGCCTGGGGCTGCTTGCACCTCTGCATGTCAGTTTGCCCCCTCCCCCAACATGGGTGGGTGCACTAACATTACTCCAGGTTGCCGTTTTAATGAGTGTTTGAGTATGTTTACATTACGCATGCTAATTTTTAAAGTTATTATTATTTTTTTGCTAGCTATTAAACTCACTGGACAAGTGATTGAAGTGCACTGAGTGTGATGCAATACAGCAGCGCTACGCAGTTAGTTATGGTGATTTATGTAACTCGGTGTCTTTGGCAACACCTCAGGGGGAAACAATGGTAATACGATTCATACGTGCACAGAGTTGACACGTTTTTGTGCTCCCGAAGTTCCCCGGCCTTCATTCAAAACGTGTTTATTGTGAGCACCTACACATGAAACAAGCTCACACTGAGGCCTTTGGGCACTATCAGGAGACACATATGTTTCATACTTTAAGGCTGCCTGCTTATTTAAGGGAGATGATACATGATGGCTGTACATATTAATATTACAGATGATGGATTAAATGAACAGGTTTTCGATGCTCGTGCATTCTTAAAGTCTCCTATGTCGAATGAACTGAGTGAGTCATGTGTCCACAGCCCCTCCCAGTCAGAGCTTTTCTCCCTGCCTGTTTACTATACATGATGTTATTAGCACAAACACTTTCAAGGTGATCATTTAGGACTTCAACAATAATACACACAGCAGTGTAGTTAAAACATCTTACAGTTTTATGTTGAGTGTCACACAGTAAAGAAGCATCAGTATCTGTTGAGAAGACTTTTTCATCTGGCCTGACTGTGTGTTATTTTGTGGTGTTTGGTACAGGTCTCTTGTTTTGTTGGGTTGTTGTTTCCAACAGGAGATGAATATCTCTAACAAGTTGATTTGTTCGTATTTCCACATCTTAATTTTAAGCTAAATGTGTGTTTTGAGTTGCTTTTTAACAAAGGTGTTTAAGCCGAGGGTGTTTTGCTTTAAATTTCACATGGTCTTACTGAGGTGATGTGACGTGAAACATCTATTTTTTTTTTTTTTTGGTAATGTGCTTGAAAATGAACCTTAAAAGGTGCTTGAATTTGACCCTGATACAGGCCTGTATAAAACACTCCACAGAGCTGGGGGACACGGGAGGCTATCTTGGTCGGAGACGAAACCTGTGAGGCGTCGGCTTTCAGCGCCGTGTCCGTGCCGTCAGGTGAACGTGTTTCCACGTTTTAGTGGAATCGTTGACCTGGTCTTTCTTTTGTGAGCTTTAAGCTGATTCTGGAGTTTCAAACACATTTACATTTAAAAATCGATGTCAGGATTTAATTCTTCGATAGTGCGTTATTCAAGTTAAAATCGATTTGAATCAGGAAATCTTTTTTTTCCAACCCTAGTTAACTTCTTGAAATAAAAACATACAATCAGGTAAATAAGTACCTGAGCAATGAGCGTGGACACTTGACCCGGTAACTGAGGTTTGTTATCGTGACACAAAAGACTGATAAGCATGAAAATTCATATCTCGTCCACTGTCATTTGAGGGTTTGTCGGTAACGTGGTGAAAATTGTGTGACATGAAGTCGGGCAGGGATACACTCCACAGCATCACTGAACAAAGTCTTGTCATAGTGAGCAAGATGCTTGTTGCGACAGCGTATTTACACTTGTTTATTTACTTTAGCTACATCTAGGCGTGGGCGGTATAAACGTATACGGTAGAAACTATATAAATTTGGCCAACGGTAGAGAGTTTGACTATATACGCGATAGCGTATGTTGATGGTGTCATCGAGCTGTGCCTGTTTTGGTCGAGAGCATTGCAGCGTCTGCAAACAACATCATCTGCAAATTACTGCGCTTCCTCCACTTCCATACCATTGATTCATTAATGCCGAATTCTCTGCAGCTGCTCTGTTCCCATGTTGTTGCAGTATATTAATGACTAACCTCGTATTGTGGATGGATTATCTCAGTTGTTCTGGTCCGTTTACAGCATCCTGCCATGCTATTGCATGTGTTCCTGACCAGCAGGAACCCTCACGCTAAATTTTATCGAATGGAAAAAAGTTAGCGTTCATCTTCCAGCTTCACTCTGTTTATGTTATGCTACCTAACTGTTTTGCTAGCGATCACGTAGCACATCATTATATACCAGCTAGCCCAACTTCAGTAAACCTACAAACATCACTGCTGTTTAATTTTCTGTCTTACTTTATGTTGGAAGTGATAGCAGAGCTGTACGTTTGAATTTTTTTCATTAATCTCTCAGTCAGAACATGCAATATCATGCTTAGGTGGAAACTAGCGAGCTAACTTCTAACTCCGTTAAATGTAATAATTTTGTTTTCATGGATGCCTGGAAGTTAAACTTCATAGTTACACCTGGTAAAGCAGCAACGCTGATCATTTTATTAAAGATGGAAGAATTTAGACAGTTTTTAACTCTCAGTGATGCCGCAGTATTTGTGTGACTTTGGGACCTGACTACGGCAGCCGTAATGCTCTGACAATCCCTCAAGCCGTGCGGCTTCGTAGCTTACCAAAGTTGGACTGAAACATTTTTGACAGATTTTAAAGCGCCGTGTACCACATAAATTCGGTTCAAGGTCAGTAAGCACAGCCAGAATTCATAGAAAAGGCGCACTGTCAATTTTTGAGAAAGGATTTGGCAGTGATGACGTGACTCTTCGATTCAGTGCCTCTGGTACCAATGAGCTCATAAAGAGTCAAATGAATGTCGGGCACACCTGAGGCCAGCGCATTGCTGTGGACCCCGACAGTTTATCATGTGACCTGTTGTAAGATGACTTGCCCCTCCCAGCTGCGCCTCACTTGTCTGTCTCTGTCAGGCTGCAGTGTGGCAGGCTCTGAACCACTACGCCTACCTGGACGCTGTTTTCCTCGCAGAGAGGCTCTACGCTGAAGGTAACACCTGTCTGTGTGTCCACATACACTTCTGTCAGTACCTGTTTTTCACCCGTGTGTCTCACCTGTGTGTGTCAGTGAGGTCAGAGGAGGCGCTTTATCTGTTGGCCACATGTTATTATCGCTCGGGGAAGCCCTACAAAGCCTACCGGCTGCTGAAGGCTCACAGTTGCTCCACGCCACAGGTTCGATTCCTGCTGGCAAAGTGCTGCGTGGAGCTCAGCAAGTAAGAACACATGGCCACACACACACACACACACACACACACACACACACACAGAGGTAAATGTAAAAGTAGTCAGAAATGATAAACTTCAGGAAATAGAGTCCATTCGGACCCCGCCTCTTTGTCTCTCAGGCTGGCGGAAGGAGAGCAGGTTCTGATTGGTGGTGTGCTGAACAAACAGAAGAGTCAGGATGACATCATCACAGAGTTTGGAGACTCTGCCTCTTTCACGCTATCTTTACTGGGGCACATTTACTGGTAAGAACCAAACTCACCTGCGCTCCACAGGTGAGGATGCTCTGCTGACTCACCTGTCTCTCCCTCTCTGTGAGCAGTAAGACAGATCGTGTTGCCAAAGGTGCCGAGTGTTTTCAGAGGAGTCTAACTCTCAACCCGTTCCTCTGGTCGCCTTTCCAGAACCTCTGTCACCTAGGTAACGCACACATCCTCCTGTGGAGTCATGAGCACTGTCAGGCTCCACGTGACTTCAATTACACTTGATGCTTTGTGTTTTAGGAGAGAAACCAGACCCAGATCAGGTGTTCAGGTTGTCCTCGCTACAGAACTGCTCCATTGCCCCACCTCCACCATCTGTAAGCCCTGCCCAGAACTCCTCCCATAGATTAGACACCGCCCTCATGGAGACGCCACAGGACACGCTGGTGAGCAACACAAATGCACCTGCAGTGCGGCTGTTTGAGCTTTGACCCATGAGCAGCTGACAGCGTTTTTGTTTTTTAGGAGTTGAATCGTCTGAATCTGGAATCGTCAAACGGAAAGCTGGCGTCTGATTTGTCCGTCTCCTACATCGACTCCTCCCTCATCTCTCCAGACACCGGCTCCTTATTGGGGAACACGGTTTCTATGGCGTCAGCTGGCTCACTTTTAGCTAAACAGAACAAGCCCAAGAGTGGGCGGAGTTTACTTGGAGGTCCTGCAGCCCTCAGCCCACTAACGCCAAGGTGAGTACAACACCTGCACAGGTGAGTTGGAGTCTTACCTTTGCAGCTGGAAGTGTGTTTACAAACTGTGTGTGTGTGTGTATGTGTAGCTTTGGCATCCTGCCCTTGGATCCCAGCCCAGGAGACCCCACATATCTACAGAACTATTCATCCACTATGGAAACACAAACTACAGCCCCCAGCAAGAAGGTAACAGCACAGACACACACAAACAGACAGGAGTGTCTGTGATTTCACCTTTGAGTTCTGGAGCTGAAAAGAGCCAATCAGGAAGATGTTTGCTCATGTAACAGACAGGAGTCGCCCCCTGCTGGTCACCAGTCAGCTATGTCGAAGCTTTGAATAATAACAGAGATGTGACAAACAAGAAGCACATTGCTGTCATACTTCACACGTAACCTTCATAACATCATCAAATGGCTCGCACTTAACACTGCATTTCAAAATAAGGCACTTCCTGTCAACACCTTTGACCTTAATCCTAACTCAGTGGTTCTGAAATAAATGACAACAATGGCATGTTTCAGTTTTTCTTCTTGACCCCAGTAATGTTCACAACAAGGCTAGTACAGGTTAAACACTTCCTGTTCACCTCACAGGAAGTTACATCATTCCCTTTGAGAAACACAAACAGTCCCTAGCCGTAGGATGATATCCACCCCTCTTCCTCTGCTCACCTGTACCTGTCTCTCCGTCTCAGGCTGTTTCCAGGATCAGTCAGTCCAAGTCTGTCTTCAGTCAGAGCGGTAACAGCAGAGACGTTCTCCCCATCCCCTTCAACCAATCGCAGACCTCTGCACCTCACAGCAGGTAACTATGGCAGCCAATCACAGGACCTGCTGCACAGCAGGGATCAGTTCCGACTGCCCGATGGTCCAAACGTGTCGGCCCTTCAGCTGCTTTGATCTTCTTTAGGTGATCTTCAGGAGGAAGATGAGAAGCTGAAAATTGTATATGATGACTCGTAATTTCACTTTACCACCTCTGATGGACTTGCAGGTACCAGTGTGTCCACCTCTGATCACCTGTCTGTGTCTCAGTGGCTCTCCTCAGGTCCTCAGTCCCAGCATGTCGGGGCCGCCAAATGTTCAGCCCAGAAGAAGCTCCAGATTGTTTACAAGCGCCAGCTCTACTGCCAAGGTACTCACTGTAGTACTCACTGTAGTAGTAAGTTAAATCTAACCACTACATGCTGTAGTAGCACCTGTTTGGTGCCTCCAGCCTTCCTTCTGACTGTCCTTCTCCTCTCTGCAGGAGAACAGTAAGAAGCTGAAGATGAAGTTCCCGACAAAGATCCCGAACAGGAAGACGAAGTGTAAATCGGCGAAGACGTCCAACAGCACCAACCTGAACGAGAGCCTGGACATCCTGAGACTGGATCCCAGCCTGAGTCTACCTGAGACAAAGATCCCACAGTACCAGAGGGCCGCCGCAGGTACGCCTCCAGGCTCCGCCTCCTCCAGGGCTGCTGTAATCAATGCAGTAAGTACAGTTTATGTGACGCACCTGTTATGTTTTCAGACAGCATAATGGCGTTGCTACGGGAACTGGGACGGGGCTACCTGGCGCTGTGCTCGTACAATTGTAGAGAAGCCATAAACATCCTGACCTCGCTGCCCCCCCAGCACTACAACACCGGCTGGGTCCTCACGCACATCGGCAAGGGCTACTTCGAGCTGGCCGAGTACACACAGGTAACGCACACACTCTTTTTTTTTTTTTTTTCTTTTTTTTCTTCTTTCCTTTAGGTGGCGTGATCGTGAGGTTCTGACCAATGGTCCCTCCAAGCTGTGCGTGTGCGCAATTGCGCACTGCTAGCACGGTCTCTGCACACAGAAAATCTGCGTTGCGCACAAAAAACCCCCAATCTAACCTGAATTGAAATTAAAATTAAAACGTTAACAATTCTGTTCTGCAGTGTTAGTCAGTGACTGGCTGCTCCCGTATGGGATCGGAACGATGCCACCTTATCCCATAGTCCAGCCAATGATGCGATTCACATTCGTATATACGCAGCTAATCAACGCGGTTGACAGGCTCTGACAGCGTCCTTATGTGCCGACACCGGTGTTTTAGCGAGCAAAGCTGATGTGGAGTGAAGCCACGTTAATGACAACGTGTACAACCATTGGAGATGTGAGCAGGACAGACAGAACAACTGACGGACAAAGTGTGGACTTTATACCAGTTTTTAAATTGTGTTGATCGGCCGCGTAAAACCAGAGTTATGATAAAAAAATCTGTAATGTTTGTTTTTCTTCCTGAATACTGTCGTTGTTTATATTTACTGCGGGAAGAAACGGTAAAAACGGCGTTTTATAAGGAAAACGCTCGAAAGCCTGTGAGCAAAAACAAAGCCAAAAAACCCCGCCCTTTCCTATTGGTGGAAAAATGTACCATGTGGACCAATCAAAAAATGATATGGCAACATGGCATTTAGTTGTTTAGGAAGGGGGAAGTTTTAGGAGTGACGGCGGTGTTTTGAGATGTGAGAGATTTGCGACGTTTAACGCAAATCTTGTGTAGTCAGTGTGTAGTGTAGTTTTGTTGTGTGTCAGAACAATGAGGCGCCTGCTGAGTGTTACAGGTGTTACAGCAGTGACACATCTGCTGCTGTCAGGCCTGCAGGTATCAGGCTGTTGTTCTCCTTCATCTCATAGTGGACAGAAATTATTTTTGGAGCGGCACAAATAATTTGTGTGGCATCAGATTTGATGCAGAACAGCTGATTGTTCTGTAAATAGTTTGAAATGTTTATTTAAAAATCGCCTTGGCTGCATTTTCAGGTAAACAGCTGCAAAAAACTTCGTTGTTTGTATAACTCAGTTACTTTTTTGAAGAAGTAACTACATAATTAATTGCCCAACATTGGTTATTATTTACTGTATGTTGCAGACAGAGTTACAGACTCTCTCCCAGACCACAGACTCACAATACAAGTCAGAGCTTTATAAAAAAAAAAAAGAAAAAAAAGAAAAGGAAAGTTGTGTTTTCAAAATTGGAGTTATTTTTTACTTCCAATAGTGTTAACATGCTACAGGTCATGAACAAGATTTTTTTTTTTTTTTAATTTTCATTGTAAGTGGGCTAAAGCAGTTAATTAAAAGTAGTCTAATATAAATGTAAATGCTGTAATTTGATTATTTTAATAAACCATGTAACACGTCTGCTGTTGCTCACTGTGGTCCAAGTGTCCGCTCAGGGAGTTTGTGTGTTCAGACACATCAGAGGGAACATTGGTTGCGACTCACCTATACACAGTGCTGTGCAAAAGTAACTTCCCTGACCTGATGACTGTCAGTGACCGATTGTTTGAGTTCAGATTCTTTGGAGAGCCAATCAGAGGTGGAGTTGCTGGTGTGTTTCAGATCACCATCCTGCTGCCCAAGTGCTCTTGAGCTTCAGGGTGTGAACTGATGGCTGGACATTCTGGCAGAGAGTGGTCCAGGTGCTGCAGCCCCAGACCGTCACACCACCACGTCTGACTGTAGAAATGTCTCCGTCAATTTTTCAGACCACCTCACTTTGTCTTTAGATGGTGGTGTGACGTGCTGACGTGGTCTCATCGTGATTTAACAGCAGGGGCGGTTACCTTTGCACACAGGGCAGGTGTGTTCAGATTGTTTGTACTAGCACCGCTGGCACTGGACTCAGTTTTATCTGAAACGTATCTGTGTCACAGATACGGGGAGGGAAAAAATAAGGAAGGGGGCGGTGTCTTTGTGGTCATCTCATGGCGCACCTGCAGACTGCCTCCAGTCCAGGTGAAGCCTCATTTGGATACTGCTGGTGCTTGTCCGTTGTCATGACAATGTGTGTTTGTAGGCGGAGCGTATGTTCAGCGAGGTGCGCAGGATCGAGTCGTACAGAGTGGAGGGGATGGAGATTTACTCGACCACGCTGTGGCACCTGCAGAAAGACGTCGCCCTGTCGGCGCTGTCCAAAGACCTGACCGACATGGACAAGAACTGTCCCGAGGTAAGGAGCTCACCTGTCCAGGTCAGAAACCCACTGATTGTGTGACACTGAGACACATGTACTGTGTGTGTGTGTCTACAGGCCTGGTGTGTAGCAGGAAACTGTTTCAGCCTGCAGAGAGAGCACGACATCGCCATCAAGTTCTTCCAGAGAGCCATCCAGGTATGCCACGGTTACCAAGCACTGATTCTGGGAAGAAGGTCTCTGGTCAGCTGGGGCCACCTCATCTGTACAGAAATGGTTTTGTGTTCTGGGTCAGCTGATGCTCCTCCCTCTCTGTACCCGTCTCAGGTGGACCCGGGCTTCGCGTATGCGTACACTCTGCTGGGTCACGAGTTCGTTCTGACAGAGGAGCTGGACCGAGCGCTCGCCTGCTTCAGGAACGCCATAAGAGTCAACAACAGACACTACAATGCCTGGTACACTGATACCGCCTCCACATTGACCACGCCCACTGACAGTACATGTATAAAGGTTCCACCACGGGGCCCTGCTCTCCCTGATAGGTGTAGCCTCTTTAGAAACAAGCAGATGCTGAGACAGCAAGTGTAGTGGTACAGACAAGGTACGCAGAGAGACATGTGGGAAGAAACCAGTGAGAATGTGAGCAGCTTTACTGCTGAGAGCAGAACCTACACCGTCGTCGTTTTCCAGAGTGGAGCACAAAAGGTCTCAAACTTAAACCTCGTGTTAGAAGTTATGAAAACACAGAGTAAAAGAGTAAAGTTACAGTTCAATGTTGACTGTTACATAAAATCAACTGTATACAAAGCTTTTGTGTGCGCATAGGTCCACAGGCCTGAACATGATGAACTTTGACCTGCTGCTCACCACAAACACACGCAGATATTTTTCTTTTTCTTACGACTACAGTTAAACGACAGTCTTACTCAGTGAGGTAACGCAACGTGTTTTTATTGTCACAGCAGCTTTTTCTTCATCATTTAAAAAAAACGCAGATATTTCTTGAACATCATAGTGGGCTGTCTGTGGGCCGCACTCCTGCTCCACACTCATAGACACTGACACCAATTTTTTTATTTATTTATTTATTTATTTATTTTTTAAAAACCCGTAATGATCGTTTTTAATCTTCTTCATTGTGTGTGTGTGTGTGTGTGCGCGCGCAGGTATGGTCTGGGAATGATTTACTACAAACAGGAGAAGTTTAACTTGGCTGAGATCCACTTTAAGAAAGCCCTGAGCATCAACCCTCAGAGCTCCGTGCTGCTCTGCCACATTGGAGTGGTAAGTTTTCACACGCCCACTGGAGGCGCACCTGAGCACGTGCAGAATGAACCGTTACAGTTCCAATTTTTTAGATGTTTACAAGATTTCTGTGTGAAAGGGATGTCACGACACCATGAGCCGCTTTACAGCATCCTCCATTTTGGTTTGGGGTGTGAAGCGAGCAGTCATCTCGTGAGAGCCTTACTTCCACCTGCTGCTTCTCCGCATAGGAGACAAACAAATAAACATCAACCGGTTTCTGACCAGTGAGACTAATGAAGTGCAATGACTGCAACAGATGAGCTGTTAGCTCGTAGCACTGACCCTCTGGTGTGTGTGTGTGTGTGTGTGTGTGTGTGTGTGTGTGTGTGTGTGTGTGTGTGTGTGTGTGTGTGTGTGTGTGTGTGTGCACGCAGGTGCAGCATGCTCTGAAGAAGTCTGATGCAGCCTTAGAAACATTGAACCGAGCGATCGGTATCGACCCCAAAAACCCACTCTGCAAGTTCCACAGAGCCTCCATCCTGTTCGCCAACGACAAGTACAAGGTAATCAATACTTGTCAGAACTGACTGTGATGAATGTAATCGGCTGGTGTGAAAACACACTGAGGGTCTGAAAGCTGACCGGAAGGAAACTGTGTGACATCATAAAGTGCTCTGTGGATTAAAACCCAGAGCCAGTGACTCCCTGATCAATACTCTTCTGTTCTAACCCTGTTCTGTAATCAGATTACATAAAGCATAACCTTTGACCTTTGTCTGTGTGAAGTCATGTTATTCATACAGAAACATAAAAACATTTCAAATGTTAAAACTGAGAAAATGAATCCTTTTAATAAATTGATGAGCTCGTGAATGAGAATCAGCACGGTCCTCAGCCAGGAAAGGGTGCAGCGCCCACTCAGGGACAGCTCCTGCTCCAGGTGGGGGAGTTTAAGTATCTCAGGCTCTTGGGGTTTGATAGAAGGGAGCGGGAGAACCACAGATGGATTAGTACTGCAGTGACGCGGACGCTATACCGGTCTGTCGTGGTGAACAGAGAGCTGAGTGTATCTACGTCCTTATCCTCACCTATGGTCACAAGCTGTAGGTCATGATGGAAAGAACGAGATCGTGGATACAAGCGGTGGAAATGAGCTTCCTCTGAAGGGTGGCTGGACTCTCATTTAGAGATGGGATGAGAAGTTCAGCCATCCGGGAGGGGCTCAGAGTAGAACCGCTGCTCCTCCACATCAAAAGGAGCCAGCTGAGGTGGTTCGGGCATCTGACAAGGATGCTCTGGGCAGGTAGGACAGCTCCGTGTTTCCTCTCTAACATCAGTCTGTGATGTTAGAGAGGAATCCGCTGTTCAGCAGTCCTGGCTCTGCTTCGTCCTGTTGTTGCTTACATGATGCTCCAGATGTTGTCAGCTGGCCAGAGGTCTGGACTGCAGGCGGGCCGGTTCAGCGACCGTGCGGCTGAGACAGATGCAGTCTGCGGTTTAGCATCCACGTTCGCAGGCAGCATCCACCTTCGCATGCGTCTGACCTCAGATTAGTTTTAAAGGAGCTTTGATGTTTCTCCATCGTGGTCACATGTGGCTTCTTCTATGCATGATGCGTGGACTGCACGCTGAGTTCTCATTGGTTGACGGCATCAGAAAGGGAGCGACAGCAGCATTCACTGCAATGTAAACGAGCAGGGAAAAAAGGAGCATGAAAACCTCAGACAACAGCAGGAGGCCACACGCCACTTAGACAGCGCCCCCTGCTGTTAGACGCTTGTACTGTTGTGCTGTCTGCCTCTCTGATCTCTGTGTGTGTGTGTGTGTGTGTGTGTGTGTGTGTGTGTGTGTGTGCGCGCGCACGCGTTTGTGTGGGTGCGTGCAGGCGGCTCTGCAGGAATTGGAGGAGCTGAAGCAGATTGTTCCTAAAGAGTCGCTGGTTTACTTCCTCATTGGAAAGGTAAGTGTGACCTTTGACCTCTTTTTGTCATCAGAAACGCTGTCATCACTGAAAGCTGTTCAGGTGTGCAGAGAAATTAAGCAGCTAGTCAGAGCAATCCTTGGAGCAACTGTAAGCCCGTAATTTCCTGAGTGATGAATAAATGTTCTGATGACTGTTACACCTGTGCCTCAGGTGTATAAGAAGCTGGGGCAGACTCACCTGGCTCTGATGAACTTCAGCTGGGCGATGGACCTGGACCCTAAAGGAGCCAACAACCAGATCAAGGAAGCCATCGACAAGAGATACCTGCCTGAGGACGAAGGTACGCACTGTTGCCACTGTTTGGTGATGTCATATGCAGAGAGGAAGTAGTCCACACTCATGTTTAGTTGATGGCGTTTTACCGTCTGTGGTCCTGGGTTTGATTCTTCTGTAGAATCACTGTGTTCGGCACCACTTCACAGAACAAACATGTTTTCACAGCAGAAAAGTGTAAACGTGTTTAACATCATTTCCAGAATTACAAACGTAAATTTAAAATGTGTGTAGAAATGTTGCAAACAATAAACTTGATGTAAAAACGCAGCAAGGGCCTTGGCCACGCATGTATTTAAACCCGTTACAGAAGCTGTCACAATAGGACGCCACACAACTGATTTGTGCCAAAAAGTTGTTCCTGTCCATTACAGGGCAGCAGGGCAGGTCACAGCCCTGACACCTGCAGGTGTATCCCTCCTCCTGTTGTCCACCTGGGCCCATGTCCGAGTATTGTCCTTAGAAAATCTCGTTTTTCCCCGTAACTCTGGTTTTACTCGGCCAATCAACACCAAGTCAGGTTTACAGTTTGAATTTTCAACACAAGTGGAAACGGAGACTTGGTGAGGCTGCATTGCCATGTGACGCGGACACGCCGCTGTGTCCGTCAAGGGTTAAAGATTCTGTATCTCTGTTAAAATAAAATATTTCAGGGCTTTCTGACAAATACTGAATTTTGGAGTGTGTGGATCAAACGCGAAAGAAAACACTTGTACCTGGAAGCATCGAGGACGTCATTTCCACCCCACAGAAATGAAAAACTGCTGCTGCGGCCCGACGGGTGCCTAGCAACACGATTGTTTACACACATTTTGACATGAAGCATTTGACAATGAACTGTAACACAAGCCACACCAAGCTAGCTGTGATTGATAAATAAATATAAGAGATGAGTAACTACTGCGCGGCTCAAGATGGGATGTTGAGCAGAGCGTGTGAGTGAGCCGGGAACTGATGAGCAACGAGGGAAGCGTGGCTGAACGCAGCCAAGTGAGAGCAGAGCAGCAGGAGCGGTCTCAGGCCTGAGAACGTGATGCAGTCAGAAGCCTTCTGCTTCTGCAGTCACTAGTTTGAAATGTGCTGATGTCTTTCTAACCGTTCATTATTTTAGCACACACACATTATCCAGATTCATTTTGATCTTTCACATTCTTCTGGAAACGTTACTTATTGAATTCTGTTGTCAGCTTATTCCGAGTTTATTTGTAAAAAAAAAAAAAGGTCTAACCTGTCTCCCTCCAGCAGCCGAGGTGGACGACAGTCAGGACAGCAGCATCATGACGGACGCCGACGACACGCAGCTCCACACCGCCGAGAGTGATGACGTTCTTTAACCACGCCCTTTGGCTCCGCCCCAACCCTGGCTTGAGCCAGTCCCTCCCCTGTTTTGATTGGCCAGAGGCGTACTGTTCCTAGGCAATGACAGACCTTCAGTTTAGCTCCGCCTCTCTCCCCATCCTCCTGTTGGCTGAAACGGACTGCTGGTGCCCTGAAACCCCGCCCCCTGACACTTCCTTCCTGTCATGTCATCACAGCTGGGTTTTCTTTTTGTTTTGTTTTTAATATTTTTCTTTTGTTTTGTTTTCCATCCTGATGGTAATAATCAATAAACATTTAAACCCCGCCCACTGCTGTCTGCTTCCTCTGTAGCCAGTCAGAGCCCAGAGTCCTTTTATAGGAAGCAAGTTCAGCTAAAACTGAGTTTGCTAATATTACCATGGTAACAGGTAATGACTCAGATTGGTGAACTCTTCTTCACGTTTGTAACCAAAAACATTTCTCTTCACACTATAGGTTTATCGATGTGAAACTGTGGCTGACCTCTGACCTTTAACTGCTCTGTGAGTGAAGCTAGCATTAGATGACAGTAGAAACATTAGCGTAGCATTTGCCATGAGGCTGTTCAGCTGTCTTGAACAGATGTTGAGTCTGTTGCCGTCAATGACCTGATCAGATTGTTAGATTTAAGGTCAAAGGTCAGGATTCAGCTTAATCTGATCTTGAAGGTGACCATAGACTGATTTGAATCAAACTTTATTCATTCTGCGATCACAACAGTATCCTGGTATCTGAGCTCCACTGATGATGGCGGTCTGCTTCCTGGATTAGGGCTCAGGTGAGTCACCACAGGTAACATGAACAGGTGTTAGATGGGAACATGATATCACGTTTCATGCTTTGCCTGAGGACATGCGTGCAGCAGAGGGAGATTTTAATTTCAGGCCAAAATGAAGCTAATCACGAGTGTGTGTTTAAATAGACATTAACGCATTTACATGAAAATACAGCTAGATCGTTTCCAGCATTTAAGGACCGTGGACCTACCGGTATGTGCGTTTTTGGTTATTGTTTTGCCACTGTCTTCATGGATTTAACTATATTTTCTATCTGGTAATGCTACTTCTGCAGGCGTGTCCGTTTCAAGTTTTGGAGAACCAAAGTGTGAACTGCACACAGTGGACTGGCAAGGCTATTACATGTTTTGCCGTGACACTGGTTTGTACAGGTGATGATTCTTGTGGTTTTGAGCTGATGTGGACTAATTGCAGCCAGTTTCATATTGAAAGACATCCCATAACATCCATCCATTCGCTTCTGCTTATCCTTTTCAGGGTTGCGGGGGTGCTGCAGCCTATTCCAGCTGTGATAGGGGGCAGGGCAATAAAAGGCTGCATGTAGCTGCTAACTGCGGCTCAAAGCTAAAATTTTAAACTGATTTTGCCGCGATTGTGCATATCCCATAATAGTCAACCTAAAAACCTCACTCTGGCCTACCATGAACTGTTTACATCATCTGTCCATCCAGACAAAGGGCATGGGGGGGTGGAGCCTATCCCAGCTGTACTCCTGTCTGTCACAGGTCTAACAGACAAGCAGGTGTTTGGACTGAGAGGAACCCAGAGAACATGCTCGAGCTGGGATACAAACTAGGAACCTCACAACAGTGCTAACCATTGCGCCTGATGTAGTATTCAGAATGGCGTTTTTCTGGTTTGGTTTCATCACTGGGTCTTGCTTAGGGGAGATCGGCAGACGGATTAGTGATCTGGATGCTGTACCTGTCCTTCATGGTGTAGAGTGAGCGGATACAATGCGCTTCCTCTGAAAGGGGGCTGGCCTCCCTTAGAGATCAGGTGAGGAGCTTAGCCTGCTCGAAAGGAGCCAGTTGGGGTGGTTTGGCCATCTGACAAGGATGCCTCCTGGGTGAGGTGTTCCAGGCATGTCCCACTGGGAGAAGTCCCCGGGGAAGACCCAGGACACGCTGGAGAGACGATATCTTTCTAACCCTGGGAACGACAAGGTGACTGGGGAGAGGGAGGTCTGGACTTCTCTGTTTAGGCGACCCGTCCCCGGATAAGTGGAAGAAGCACATAAATCTGATAAAACTGCTTCCTGTTTATGTTGTTGACAGCGGTTATGAGGCTGGCGTCATGGTGTTTCTCTGCAGTGATGAAAAACTCGTCAGATTCAAGAGAAACTTTATTGGTACAAAGCACTTGAACAGCCAACAGGCAGAGAGACACAAATGTTTTGGCACCTGGTATCAAACGGCATTCTGGGTATTTTTTTTAATGATGGTGGTGGTGAGGGGTTGGTACAGCACGTCAGCAAAAACACAGAAGAGATATGATTGGTAGAAAGATGACATCAGAGAGATAGAGGCTCGATGATTGGACACATTTTATGAACAACGCTAATAACACTCTTCCTGTTTCCAGAGTCACATGACTTAATGTTTCACTTTTTCCCACCGTTCTCACACTTCCTGTTTCCTCCAGGAAGTGCTCAAGACAGATGTTAAAATAATGGCGAGTTAAAGCTTCAGATGCTTTTTCATCGACTCAGTTCTCAAAACGAAACTTCTGCACAGCGCAGGCGGACTAAGGATGATCTGATATCCTCGTGTCGGTGTTGTTCCCACATCATCATAATAAATGTTGTTCCAGGTTCAACATTGCAAGTGACCAATCACATTGTTGTGACGTCATACTTTTGCAAGCCAAGTGATTTATTAATTTATGAAATTACAATGTTGCAAGGACAATCTGTATAATGATTACAGTTTATTAAAAACAGTATCCTGAAATGCAAAGAATTCAAATTGCTGTATTGTCGGACAGAGGCAGTTTCTCACAAATAGATTATATTTTTAAGGTGTTTTTTTCCGAAGTCACAAAAGTATGACGTCACAACAATGTGATTGGTCGCTTGCAATGTTGAACCTGGAACAACATTTATTATGATGATGTGGGAACAACACCGACACGAGGATATCGTGCGGCGGACTAACTGGGACACGTTCACGGCCGTGCGTCTGTCGCCAAATTCAAAACGAGCTCAAATTTTCTTCAAAGGTCAGATTAAAGAGCGGGCTCCGGGTATGGGGGGGGGCGCTGTGGGCATTTACGCATCACAGGTTTGTGGAGTGTGTGTGTGTGTGTGTTTAATCGCATTTAACGCCGTTGGGTCTTTGATCAGGTTTTTAAACGCTGAGCTGATCAGCTTACCACAGGAACTCCTAAGGTTAAACATTTATCTGCTGAAAGTCATATTTATTCATTCATTTGTCACTGCTCAGCTTAAAGTTGATTCGCAGTGGAGATAACAAATATAGGTGAGGCTGATCATGTGACTCTGCACACCTGGGTGAACTCTGGGTGATTTCTGATTCATAAAATCTCTCCAATCCTCGGTAGCTTTGTGTAATATGTATGATGATTTTTTTTCTTCCATTAGGCCGTTTCCTTGGTGACAGCAGGGAGGCAGGGTCTGTAGGCACAGGGTTTGTCCAATCACAGGCCTTGTTTGGCGAGAGAGGCGGACACCTTACGGAAAGAGGAAGTGGTGTGTTAGCATATGTTATGTTTTTACTTTGTGATTTTTTTTTCTTTTTTCCCCGGAGTTCTTACCTCATCGGCCAGGGTGTCGAGGGGTGGAGTTTCAGTTGCATTAAGACTTCCATGGGAGGAAGTGTTGCTAAGATGACAAGGGGAGGAGTCAGCCTGGATGATGATTTCAGCACCGTGGTCGGTTCGAGCTTTGGCGCTCTCTCTGAAGCTCAGCTTCTGAGTCTCGATCTGCAAACACACACGCAGGTGTCACATGACTGGGAATCAGGTCACATGACAAAAACGTGCTGCTCCTGAGCTGGGTGTATAAAGCGCCAAATAAAGGGACAAAAGAAATTATGCTTCCACTGTAAGCGGACAGAGTTTACAGCAAAGGACAAATTAGGTCACGTGACACCGGTGACCTGCGTGAGCAGGGCCGAAGACGTCTCCATTTACGGAGGAGACAGCAGGTCTTCTGCGTTCAGGACGTTGTTTGAAGTTTCTATGACACTGCGGTGTAACAGAGGAGTCGGGAGTGCTGACTCTGCTCCTCCGACCCCCATGAGGAGGTGGATGTTAGTGCGTACCTTCTTCTTCCCTCCTCCCGGCACATGAGTGACGTTCTCCAGAGAGCCGACTTTGGACTGAACGGTCTTAAACTCCACCTTCTCTGACTTGATCTCCACCTTCCCTCCACCTGAGGAGTAGAGCGAAGAGATCAGCCGGTACTACTCGTCTGTGCTACTTTTTATTGATCAGCTCTCCACTTAATCTCGAGATATGTGATTGTGGTGTGGAACGTTACCTGGTTTGTGGTGGATGTTGTCTTTGGAGCCGCACTTTGATGTCACATTACTGAGATCCAGCTTCTTGTTGATGATCTGAACCTACAGACAGACAGGTGAGTGTCAGGATCTACCTGAGAGTCAGCTCTGCACAGCAGGTGGACGGATGTACGTTACCTTGCCCCCTCCAGGTGAGTGTTTCAGGTTCTCCGTGGACCCAACCTTTGACTTCACATTGCTGAGGTCGGGCATTGGATGAGAGGGGAGGGGGGGCGTCCGTCCACGAGCACAGCCAGGAGACCTGGGGGGGGTTCGGACCACCGCCACCTGCAGAATGGCAGAACCATTTTAACCACCGGTACCAGTTACAGACACTGTCAGAACCAGTCCTTCTGTTATTGGCTCTTAAAATCCTGCTCCTCACATACAAGGTCTTAAATAATCAGGCCCCATCTTATCTTAATGACCTTGTGGTACCATATCACCCTGGCCCCGCCCCTCCCTGAGCCTGGTTCTGCCGGAGGTTTCTTCCTGTTCAAAGGGAGTTTTTCCTTCCCACTGTCGCCAAAGTGCTGCTCATAGGGGGTCATATGATTGTTGGGTTTTTCTCTGTATGTATTATTGTATTGAATTCTATTCTAAAGTTTGCAGATGACACTGCAGTGATAGGATGCATCGCGCACAGGCAGTCCAAACAGTCGTTACATTAATTGTGAGGTGATGCGCTCATCAGTGAAAATGAAGACCTGCAGTTTTACTTAATGCTGTGTAAATCACACAGAACTACACACATTATGTACGGATCATTTCAGTAACATGCGTGCTCTGGAACAACATAGTGACTGCAGACAGAACGACCCTGCTGAACCAGTAACCCTCTGTCAGAGTACCTATACACTGCTGTACTGCTGGTTTGACTGCAGTAAAGCGTATGAATACTTCAGCACCTATCTCAGGTGTTCTC